AGGGAGCATGACTACATCCGCACCCAGGCAGACTTTCCTTGTATGAATCTGGAAGAAATCTTCCTTATTGCCAGGGTGTTCCAAAACAAGTCAGAAAAGCACCCTAAAATGCAGATAGCGCTTGAAAAAGCCAACTCTTTTCTCAGGGATACGGTCTGTGACTTTGCCAAGATAGATGCGGATATCTACCCCACCATCCTCAAGAAGTTTGATCTCCCACCTTTTGAACCTGTGCCAATGCCTTCCGAAGGCTTCCAAGAAAGATCTCTAGGCGCAACAAACTACCCTGAACTTGGAGTCATATTCAAAAGGAAGACTGACAACGTCAAATATTTCATTCCTATGACTGCCATGCATCGCCTGACCAAGAAACAACTTGACATCTGCCGGACTGCAATTGAAAGATCTAAGCATACTACCGCAGAAGTCAAGTTCGAGATCACAAGAAGAATCACATGGTTGGAAAACGTCAGGAAGTTCTGGTGGATTTTGATGAAGTTCCTCAAACTTGATAGCTGAACCGGAGTTAAAGAGGTCACTTAGGGGGAAATTGTTGAATCATAAAAGTGACCCTCTTGAACTCAGCTACCACAACCATCTCAGCTACCGCAACCATCTTTCTACCGCAACCGCTTTAGCACCCGGAGTCAATCTTGTTCATCAGCAACCGCATCAGCAACCTGAGTCAGCTACCGCAGTCAACTTAGCTAGATTACGTTATTTGTCTTTTATGTAATACACTCTATTATCCAGTATGCCTTGCACGGCTGCTTATAGAGTTGTAATCTAGTGTAGTTTCTAAGTCTCTATAAATAGAGACTTACTCTCTTTGTATTCACAGAGATAAGAAAAGGAACCGATAACTTATGAATTCTATCTGAATACACATTCTGAAGTTATCTCTCTTATCTTTCTTCACTCATATCTTCTTACTTAAATCTTATCATAATCCTGCTGATCATAATCCCTCTTCAGAGCAAGTCTTTAAGACTTAATCACTAAGCTTGATCTTCCTTATTAACTTGGATTGAATGCATTCCTTGTTATGAATCAGCTTAAGTGTCTTCTTGATATAACAATTGCTGTCATTTCCATTCCTTTACATTTCCGCAACTAACTCTCTAACTATCTAACTATATTATTGTTGAGCTTTTAGATCCTTTGAGATTAACTATTCCGCATTATACTTGTTCTAACTTTTGTTCAAGTGTGTCTCCAAGTTTTTCTCTCAACACTTGGAACAACTACTATCAACAAACCGAAGTCTGATGATATTCCTCCATAGCTCTAGGACAGAGTGCGGGATCAGTTGGTCTTTGGAACCCAGTCCATTTTGAAACTGGGTTGACCTTTGTCATAAACGCAAGGTACTCTCTCCCATGACATATCCTGTTTATCACAAACAGAAGATGAAGAAATATTAGAGTCATTAGAAGATTTGGGAGATTGAACCTTTGGTACCCATCTATAGTCGGGTTTAACCCATTTCTTGTTTGATCGGATGGATGCCTTGTCGCTTGCTTTTGAACTTGAAGTCGATCGTTGATATGACTTTGACCTAACCGGTCTTGGTGTCACTGGAGCATTTCTTGGATTGGACTTCTTGGCTGGCATTCCCTTCTTGACCTTGGGATTTGGATTCTTGGCCTTGTGGTGTGGGTTGGATTCTTGCTCTTATTCGCATTCCAGTTACCATTGTTTGAACGTGGCCTCGAAGGGTTTATTTTGAAGTATCTCCCTCTTGGCGCGTTCTGCGAGCCTTATGCGTAGTAGGGAACGTATGCACGATTTGGACAGTTTCTGGCAATGTGTCCAGGTGTTCCACAGTGAAAGCAAGTTTGCTTCTTCACGTAGGAGTTGTTTCTTCCTGCCCCTGGTGGCGTACCCTTGCCTTATCTCTTATTGTTCCCACAAGCACACTTGCAGCAGGCCGTCTGTTTCACTTGTTTTGGTGGCCTGTATTTACCAACAACAGGTTGATTAGAAGCAACAGATTCAGAGTTCAAGGAGTCATGTGTTTGTTCAACAGTGCTCTCCTTGTTCTCATCTTCTACTACTTTACCTGCACATGAAGTAGAAGCATCAGAAACATTCACCTTAATAACCTCAGTAGGCCCAGATGGTTCAGTCTTAACTGAAGCTGGTTTAGTCTTAATTGAAGCTGGTTCAGGGAGTGGGCCAAACTGAGTAGGTGTCTCTACCTCATTAGTTTCAAGGGGTGTGGTATAGTTGTCATTGAAGGGAGGGTGGAACATTGTGATACCCTAACCCCTTAGATTGATTATCTTTAAATTTTAATTGCTTCTCAATCATCGAGGCAACTACCTCACTTGACACATCATATTTTCTGAAATTAAAATCTGCATTTTCAAATTTGTTATTCAATGTGTCAAGCTCGGCAGTCATAGAGGCAAGTTGTTTTCTTAATATAGTTATAGTTTTCACATTTGTTACTATATTCCTCTAGAAGTTTTCGGAAGTCCTTGATTTTGGCGTCTAATTGTGTTTTTAAGGGTTTTTGATCTTTCTTAAGGGTGTACTTCTCATATTTAAGGTCCTCGTTCTCTCTTTTATCAATTCAATTTGTTCACGAAGAAATTTGATTGTAGTCTCACAAGATTTAGAACATAAAACTTCATTGACCGGGATGTTTGCAGAACTCATTTTTACCAAAAATGCCCTTTGACTAAAAACTCAAAAGTCAACCTTAAAAGTCAAATTTAAAAAGTCAAACTTGAAAAGTCAAACTTAAAAGTTAAACCGAAAAGCTAAATTTGAAATTTTGAAAGTTAAAAGAGAAAGTCAAAGTTTAAAGTCAAAGGTCAAACTTGGAAGTCAAAGTCAAAATTTTAAGTAAAAAGTCAAAATTAAAAGTCAAAAATTAAAAACTAGAATTTTTGGTTGAAAATGAAATTTAAAAATTTAAAAAAATTAATTTTGGGCCAAAAGTGTTAAAATTGCGAAATTAGGTCGAAATAGGGACGCCTTTTGAATTAAATCTGGAAGGCTTATACAGTCTAGCAAGCTAGATCAGTTGGTAAGGCGCCTGGTTGATGAATCATGGGACTCGGGTTCGATCCCTGGCACCCCCAAATTTTTTTTTGAATATTGCTGATGCGAGGACTGAGCTTGACCGAGAACTCCTGCTGACCAGCGAGGACCGCACACGAGATTGTGCTAGACCGTGAACGAACGAAGAGCGAACACGTGCGAGGATGTTGAGCCGTGAATGCTTCTCGGTCGTATACGAACCTCGGACCGTGAACCCACCGATGACCGTGAAAGCTCCGAGGACCGTGAACACTGCTTTGGTGGCCGTGAAAGCTTCTTCGGTGGCCGAGAACCCTTCAACGTATCGCAAAAAACCAGCATTTTTTTACCACTTTTTGCTCTAAAACTTGATTAAAAACTCGTTTTTTATGAAAAACACAAATAAAAACCCCCACTATTTTGCCAAGAACTATCCAAAAACGCAAAAATCCTTCAAAAATAAGATCAAAAACGCTCCAGATCTGACCAAAATGATTGATACAGACCAAGCTCTTATACCAACTGTAAGTCCCAAATCTGTTTGTGTATCAATCAGATCCAATTGATGTTGTGGAATCCCAATTAATTGGATGATGCTAGATCAAAATAGAGAAGAAGGAGAAGAAGAAGAAGATGAATCTATGATGTATTCAATAAGATTGATGCTCCAACACATAAGATTCTCTCACACACACTCTTCTTTTCTCTAACTTTCTCTCTCTAAAATATGCTCTCCACTCTATCTCTCCTCTAGGCCCTCCTTGTCTAGCCGTGTACACTTAACAATATGACATCTATTTATATGGAACATGGGCCGTGAACAGGTTCACGGCCGTAAACACCCACTTGGGTCGTGAACACACAACTACAAACACATATTACATGACCGAAAACTATTAAAGCCTAGAAAAGCAAAGTATAAACCATATTTTTTGACCCAACACCTTTTATTATATATAATTAAATTGGTTGATGTGCATGGTATTATATTAGGAATAAAGTATAAAGTGGTCCATGTGGAAGTACACTATATATGGGGACCGTTTGTAGTTAATAGTCAGTGGGTGTTTTTATAATGGAAAAATGGGACCTTTGAACTCATTATAGAACCATATTTGGGACCATATAACACATTCACATGCATGTACATTATTCCAAATTTTTCCATGCAAAAATATTCAAAGCCATATGTTATGAGTTTACTTAAAAAGGCAACATACTTTCATAAGTGACCAAAATGTCATTTCATGTCATTAATTTACTTAAAAAGGCAACATACTTTCATAAGTAACCAAAATACCCTTTTATGTCATGTGTTTACTTAAAAAGGTAACATACATTATAAGTGACCAAAATACCCTTTTATGTCATAAGTTTACTTAAAAAGGCAACATACATTCATAAGTGACCAAAATATCCTCTTATATCATGAGTTTACTTAAAAAGGCAACATACATTCATAAGTGACCAAAATACCCTCTTATATCATGAGTTTTCTTAAAAAGGCAACATACATTCATAAGTGACCAAAATACCATTTTATGTCATGAGTTTACTTAAAAAGGCAACATACATTCATAAGTGACCAAAATACCCTCTTATATCATGAGTTTTCTTAAAAAGGCAACATGCATTCATAAGTGACCAAAATGCCCTTTTCACATCACATGTACTTACCAAGACAATTACCTTAAATTCAAACAAAAATCCAGATAAACACACATTAAACTCAAGTGAAAATTACCATCATCCTAATACACATACATTAAATCCAAATAACACAAAGACAAATTTAACACTAATAAATTAGAAGAGCTTTTCCCTTAGAATTTCCTGGATCATCAACACCACCAATTCTCTTGCCTAATTTCAACTTCAAGATTCTCTCTGACTTTCTTCTCCTTATCCTCTTCAAAATCTCTAAAATTGGTCTAACCCTTCCTTGCTGAACCTGGACAAAGAACAACCTCCTAAATTTGAACATCATCATCAACTTGGACATTAGGAATAACTTCATCATCTTGAACATTACCACCCTCCTCAGCCTCCCCACCCATAACAGCATCCTCACCCACAACACCTTCCTCACCTTCATAACTTCTAGGTGGAGTAACTTGCATATACTGACTAAAATCCCCTACACTACTGGATTCAACATCATTAGGAGTAGCTTGCATATCATTTTGAGTAGTATCCATCTCAATTGGAGTCATTTCAACCTCTTCATGTTGTTGAGGTTCACTTCTACTACCCTATATGGCATGATATAATAATGTTAGTGGCAAATCATATGTAAATAAACTTTAATTTTAAATGGTTTTACATGTTCTGCATTTTGCTTCACACAAAATTTTTGTTTCTTCTGTTTCTTCACATTTAACTTTTGGGTTCTTCTCTCTGGACAAGTGGCCTTGTTGTGACCTACTTCCTTGTATATACTACATCTAATTTTCTTTCCAGCCTTAGAAACCCTATTTTTGTCACATCTAGCAATTTAGGGCTTGGATTGTGATTCTTGTACAAAACCATTTCCACGATGTAACCTTGCAACACCAAATTAGTGAAATTCAAACTACAATGTTATTTGAATTCATACATGCATACATTGTGATTAAAGTTGAAATAGCCTCATGCAAACCCAAAACTCGATCCAATAGCTAAGCCCAATCAATTTTAGGCCTTGGTCCAAGAATTCTCGGCTCAACACCCTATTGGGCCGAAAACTTCTCTTTGGGCCTTATCGGGCCAAAAACTCCTTCTTTTGGGCCTTCCATTGGACCGAGAACCCTTTTATTGGATCACATAAAACCCAAAATCCCATACACTCGTCAAAACCGCAAACTCCTTATGGAGTTAGCGTGTTTTCGGCCACCCTAAAAACCGAAAACCCCCTCAAAAGGTTGAAATCGGTTAAGGCTTGAATAAAAAAAGAGAAAAAGAAATGGGAAAATGGTGTGCCACCTCACTTTTGTTCAACATGCAACAAGGCCTTTAACCTTCATACTTCCATGCAAACTTCACATCAAACCTCAAGAAGTCAACCCTCTCTTTTTCCCCCTCCTTTCTTATGCATCGGCCAATGCTACCCCCCCCCCCCATACCCTCACCAAAATCATTTCCAATTCACTCTCCAAACTCTCTCATCCTCTTCCACGAGAACCACCTTCAAAAAGGGCATATCTTCGAGTGGTCCTAAGAGTTTTAGGTAAGTTTCTTATGAAACTCAAGTGTTTTCACACATGTTTATGCTAAGATCATTCCATTTACACACCTATTTCCATGGGCGATATGGTCCTCCTGAAAGTGTCATCCTGGAAGGGTGTTATCAGATTTAGGAAGCGGGGCAAGCTGGCCCCAGGTTCATTGGTCCGTTTAGGGTTTTGGCCTAGGTGGGTCGGGTTGCTTATCGGTTAGATCTTCCAGCAGAGCTCAACCAGATCCACAACACGTTCCATGTTTCTCAGTTGCGGAAGTGCTTAATGGATGATTCAGCAGTGGTACCCCTGGAGGACATTCAGGTTGACGATAGCCAGAACAATATCGAGAGACCAGTGGCGATTTTAGATCGCAAGGTGAAGGAGTTGAGGAACAAGAGAGTAGAGTTAGTGAAGGTGCATTGGCAGCACCGGAAGGGTTCAGAGTGGACATGGGAGCCCGAGGAGGAGATGAGGGAGTACTACCCGGAATTATTTTCAGATTCAGCAGACTTCGAGGACGAAGTCTAAGACAAGTGGGGGAGAATTGTAACGCCCCATTCCTGGTACGAAAGTAATTCTCTAAATGTTCATTTTATAAGAGCTACTCGACGAGTTGGTAGCCCTAACTCGTCGAGTAGGTGCGAGCTGGACCGCGGGGTTTAAGTGGACTACTCGACGAGTCAGAAATGGACTCGGGGAGTAGGTCCATCAGGAGGAAACCCTAATCCTTAGGGTTTACACCCTATTTAAGCATCATTATGAGTCTTCACTCCAGCCTCCATCACCTCCACAGTCCATTCTCGAAACCCTAGCAACCATTGAGTGTCTTAAAGCTTTCTTGCCTTTTTGTGTGATTTGAAGTTAGGAGAAGGAAGAGATCTATTGGTGATTCAAGAAGAGGCAGGAGATCCAGAGTTTTAGTTGCATTTCAGAGCTCTTGAAGGTATAAAGTTTATACCTTGGCTTATTTTCACTTAGATCTTCTTGAAAGCTTGTTTGTTGCCACTTTTGGGTCCTTTAGATCTAGGCACTCTTGAGCTCCAAAAGCTCAAAGTTACCACCTTTATTCAGCCAAGATCCCATTCTATGCCCTAGACTCTCATTTCTAGCTTGTTTTGGGTGATTTAGTTTCATAGCATCATGCATGCACGTAAAGTTAGCAACTTTACGTGTTATTCTAGCCTAAGGAGTCCAGATTTATGAATTGGAGGCAGTGGAATCACCTAGGAACAACTGTATAGTCTGAACATGCAATGGACTCGCCGAGTTGTTCTCAAGACTCGACGAGTCGGATCGATGTCCCCAAACCCTTCTTCGATTATGAGTGATACCACTGAGTTAAGGAGGTGACTCAGCGAGTTGGACAGGAGTGAAACTCGAAAACAAAAGAAATCGACGAGCCCAAGGTGGGACTCGACGAGTAGAATCGAGATGTCCCGATGTTATGACCGTTTGAACTCGACGAGTCGGTAGAGGGACTCGGCGAGTTGGGTTGACTGAGAGTTGACTTTGACCTTGGCGTTGACTTTGCTCAGGAGGGTAAAATGGTTATTTTACCCTAAGAGAGATTATCAGTTTTGATTAAGTGTTGTTATGGAATTATAGCCGGAGAGTCGCCGGAGCAGCAAATAGGGATCCCTCACCCAGTTTTTCAGCAGTCAACCATACGATGTGAGTTTCCTTCCAGTAGGAACGGGTCTACGGCCACAATGCTGGCCCGTTTAGATGATAGTAGTTCCGGACTTCGGTCCGATGTCGGTTTGGTCCCGAGAAGTAGTATGTATGCTTGATGTCTTCGTGACTCATGCAAGTTTGTGATATGTGTTATATGTTATGGACTTCGGTCCGATGTCGGGCAAGCCCGATGCAGTTTATGTGATTATGATGTATGTTCATGCTATGTTATGTTCAGTTTTTTCTGGACTTCAGTCTGATGTCGGGCGGGGCCCGATGCAGTGGGCGGAGCCCAAGTTATTCCGGACTTCGGTCCGATGCCGGGCGGGGCCCGATGTAGTGGGAGGGGCCCAATTTATGCCGGACTTCGGTCTGATGCCGGGCGGGGCTCGATGCAGTGGGCAAGGCCCAGTATGTGTTATATGTGTTATTGTATGGTATGAGGTAGTTTGGGGGACTTCACTAAGCTTTGTGCTTACATTTTTCAGTTTTGGTTTCAGGTACTTCCACTCGGGTTGATCGCATGGCACACACCATAGTCACAGCCTGGGACTTCACTCTGATGATTTGATATGAGATTTTGATTTGAGACAGATACTATGATGTCTATGATACATGATTTATGTTTTTACTTATGATTTTGGATGGTTTATGATTTTAATAATGATTTGAAAACGAAATTTTTGTACTATATTTTGGGATGTGACAAGTTGGTATCAGAGCCTTGGTTTGAGGGATTCGGGCGCACTTTCGAGTGTGTCTGGACTCAAACTAAGGAATTGCTATAGAAATTTTCAAAAAGAAAATCATTTTTACAAAAAGGATTTTGAAAATAGAAAAGAACTTTGAAAAGAGAAAAGGGTGTGGTGCATGCAATCAGCCGAGCTCAAGTAAGTACTCCCAAATTACCCATACAAGATTATGTTATGTTATGATTATCAGCTTTATTAGAGCAACATGCTAGACTAGGACTAAGGATCTAGGAAGGATGTCTTATGTGCCTGTTATATGTGTTCAGCTTTATGAGACTTGCATGCTAGTACAGATTAGTCGGTATGATAGCCAGATTAGTATATGCTTTATTATGTGTACTCGATGCTCGAATGTTGCTTGCTTTGTGATTTTAGGAGTCTTAGTTATCTTTTACTAACTAGTAAACGAATATGTTACGTTGCATATTGAAAGGATTAAATAATTTCAGAAGGTTAGGTCTAGCTCTATTGCGCAACTCTTGTTTGAGTCCAACCGTTGTAGGGTAGGATCTCTCATTCGAAGAATTATCTAGTCTGAGTAATATGTAATAGTATTTGCGAGCTAGTTAGCGGAAGAAAGCAGGGACTTCTTAATGTTGCTGATGGCGGAGAGTGGGTTGGTGATTACCCTAGGGCAAGCCTAGGATGAGAGTAGCAGAGAGCAGTAGCAGTAGAAGGGACTTGGTAGAGTCGAGGCAGTTCTTGAGGAAAGTACGGATAGATGTGGAAGGTAGTATGGGCCCGTACTACTGAAAGCAGAGGATCCGTACTCGAATCAAGGAAGGCTAAGATAATACTAGGGAACTTGTAGTATGTGTGATCCTTCCAGTTATATTAGTATTCTGACGTTTGTTATGATGTGTTTTCAGAATGGTGGTTTTACGCCCTACACCAGCAGTTGGTAGTTCAGGTGCAGGAGAGGGATCGGGCTCAGGCTCTGGAGCTGGACAGTTAGATGAGCAGACCAGGGAGTTCATCTCCTCGGAGGTCACACGCAGCATACTAGACCAGACTCCTGTGATTTTTGGATCGGTCAAGGAGGGTATCCTAGAGCTTCTGGATGAGAAGCTGGGCGCGTTCCGCACTGAGATAGCGGCCATGATGGGATCGCGCAAATTGACGTTCATGGAGTTCAAAGCTTGTGGAGCTCCCGACTACCATGGGGCTCGAGACCCCATTGCGAGTACCAGATGGTTGGCTGATGTCGCCAACGCGTTCCGCACCAGAGTTGTCCCGAGGGGGACAAGGTCAGATTAGCATCCTGTCTTCTGAAGGACAGGGCACGAGATTGGTGGGAAGAGGTTGGGAGAGCCATTGGAGATGAAACTGTGTTGGATGCGATGACCTGGAGTGATTTCACGACCAGGTTCAAAGCCGAGTTCGCACCTGTTATTGAGGTGCAACAGCTTGCTAGGGAGTTTCAGGACCTCCAGCAGACGACAGAGACTGTGGCGGAGATTACCGCCCAGTTCAGGGAGAGGGCCCTCCTCGTTCTGCAGTATGTGGCAGACAAGGAGATGAAGAAGGCCCGATATCATGAGATGTTGCAGAGTGATATCCGCCAGTTTGTGAGCCGCTCCAGCTGCAAGATGCTGGAGGACATGATTGCGAGGGCTCGTGAGAGGGAGATTGATCTAGAGATGGAGAGGAAGAGGAAGCCAGAGGCGACGTCTGGCGCAGCAGGTTCAGGCAAAAAGCCCAAGGTGTCTGATCACAGGTCTAGGGGACAGCAGAGCCACAGTCAGTGTGGCAAGTGTGGCAGGTTGCACGATGGGGTGTGCAAGGCGGGGAGTTCCGGCTGGTTCAAGTGCGGTTGGGCTGGGCATATGAGTAGGGATTGTACAGCTACTACCACTACCACCACAACATCTGATCTGATTTGCTTCCATTGCAATCAGAGGGGACACAAGAAGTCCCAGTGTACGAGTTTAGCACCTGCAGGACAGGTGGTGGTACCCGCTCCTACCACACTGAGGATTACAGACGGCCGGCAGGGTCGTGCTGAGGCGCCAGTGGCAAAGAGTAGAGCTTTCCAGTTGACAGCAGAGGAGGCGCGATCGACTCCTGATGTGGTTGATGGTACGTATTTTCTCCATTTTCTCTCTATTACTCTTGATTATTACTCATGTTTATGTGTTGTTATAGGGTCGTTCCTAGGGAACGACATTTCAGCCATGGTATTGTTTGATTCGGGGGCTAGCCGATCGTTTATGTCGCTTGCACTTAGCAAGCGATTTAGCAGAGCTCTGGGGGAGCTGGATTGTCCACTCGACGTTGAGATAGCAGATGATAGGACCGTCAGGGTCGCGAGAGTTCATAGAGGATGTACACTGCGTTTATATAATGAGCAGTTCCCAGTAGATTTGGTTCCTATTCCCT